ATGAGCCTTCGTAAATTGCAGAAGACGTTTATTTCGTTAATGGATGCTCTCAGGATATTTTTTATGCTAATAATTGGTCCGCAACAGTTCAGGTATTTGGAAATTTACAAGGCCGATCCAGCGCGTCATATTCAGGGGTTTTTTCACCAAGATATCCCTGGTGACATATTTTCAAATTCATGTGTGGCTCGAGAGCCAATTCTTTGAAGGAGGGCTCCGAATGTGCAAGTTGTTTTGAAGAAATACAATGAAAGTGTGTTGAAAGTGCAATTTTTGAGCACTAGAAAATTCATAACTCAAATTTCGTGGCTCATTTTGAACTTGTTCTGGTGGCCAAAACTCGGTCTCGATGTCCTCTGCATTTCATCTCTCACGGTCATAAGCTCTGCTCAGATGGTCTCCAAAATTAGGGATTTATCAAGCGCGTTCGCACGGGAAAATTGTGGCAAATGTTTATCTGCACCACATTCAAAAAATCATAACTCGATCGATTTTTATCGTATCGAGCCCGTTTTAGTGGCATTGTCTCACTAATTGAGTTATCTGAATTTTGGTTTCTATTTTCAAGAGCTAACGATACCCCGAAGGTTTTCGTTTTTGACCCGAAGCGCGTGCAACTCAATGAAAAATATGAAGCTGGGAATTAAAGTTGTCTGAGGCAAAACTTCGAAAATTCATAACTTTCTCATCATTTATCCGATTGAGCCTGTCTTTGAACACGAGGTCGTTGTCGATATTAACTACATTATTGTTTCATATTTCAACTTTAGAAATCGCACCTAGGTTCCGGAGAATTTTCTCGAAATGTGTCGCACTCAAGTGATTCAAAAATGTGCAATTTGACTTGTGGTTATTTGAGGCCCATTAACCAAATTCACTCACATAATGTGACACTATATATTCTTATTTACTCCAATTTCTAAAGAGAGACTCTCATAATTCAGAAATTCTCACAAACACTCTAAAACTTTCTCCTAATTCTCTGAAAGATCAAATCAAGGTTCTACACCTTTTTCATCAAGAACACAACAACAATTGCATCAAGATCCAAAAGTCAAGATCAAGAGAAATTATTCTCCGAATGTTGATCCGTTCATTGCGATCTCTATACCTAAGCTTTCTCTTCACTTCTATCGGTGAGTTTTCTTGAATTAAGAACTTTTGAAATAAGTGATTATTTAGAAGCACTTTTTTTATCAAGCATGAATTGAATCTAGGTTGAATTTTGAATTGAGAGTTTAGATCTAAGCCTAGAATTGTGAATTGATTTGACAATCATGGATAAATCCAGAATTGGATAGTTGAATTAAGTGATTTTTGAATTAAGTTAATTTACATGAAAGTGCTTAATTATTGAAGCAAATTTATGATGTTTCATGAAGTTTAAATGTTGATCTTAATCAATCATGTATAATTTAAATCTAGACCTTGAATTATGCAAAATCATGTGTTGAATGTGTGAAGATCTTGTGTTTGATCAATTGCCTAAGCCATGAGCCAATCTCAAAAATCTGTTAAAATTATTTTCTGTCTGGGTAACAGGTTACCCAAATATGGTAATCAGTTACCATCCTTTCATTCACAAAAAAAATCGAAACTGTTATGTGGTAACCGGTTAGCCATTTATGGTAACCGGTTAGCCAGTTATGGTAACCGGTTACCCCAAGTGAGAAATAAATGGCCAGAATTTTCAAAGTTTTAGTAATCAGTTACCCAGTTATGATAAACCGGTTACCCCAAGTCATTAGCCAATTTCCAGGATTTCCAACTTTTGGGTAACGGTTACCCAGTTATGGTAACCGGTTACCTAGACAGAAGTATTGATTTTTGCTTTGTTTCATTGCATGTTTGCGTACTTTTCCTTATTAATTCTAACTCCTTTTGTGAATGCTTTACAAGGTATATTGCTAGGATTTCAACCTTTAATTATCACATGATTATTGGTAGAACGACATATTATGCGATCACTTGTTAGTGGAAGTTTGCGTATGATGTGCAAATGATGTTATTCTCGCATAAATCCTATTTTTGTGCAGGTACTCTGGTATCACGCGGATGTGTTTGCTACATATTCCATTGTGTGATTGTTATCTTTGTATCTTGTATGGATTGTAATTCTTGCTGGTGCATTTTGATATTAAGATGTGTCCGCTACACATTCTGGTTTTTCGTTGTTGATACCCTGACGCATATGCTGATGGTATTTTCTTTATTGGTGCTAGCAGTTCGTGAATTTTTCCGGCTTTCTTTGTTATTGCTTAGCATCTACCGATTGTTATCCGTTTGGTACATTTCCCTTCTATTTTCTCTCTGCATTTTGTTGCTTTTTTAGAGATCATGAGAAGTAGGTATTTTCCTGCTTTTCTTGCCATGTCAAGTAGGAATAGAGATGTATGACGGGGATTTCCGTTGCTGATATATGTCAGGAATCCCTCTAGTTTATTTAAAGACCTATTTAAGGAAAATCTGCATATGTGACTTGTTAGCTACTCGCGTTTGTTTAAAATCATACCTTTTAAGTAGGTATTTCGCACGTGTGTTTACATTTTCTCGCATCTATTCCCCATCCCCCATGGAAGTCCTCAAAAGGAGGCGAGCGGGGAGGGTCTGTAATCTACCCCCGCATATTCTAGTACATGTCATCCTTAGCTCACATTGTACGTCGATGCTTCAGAGTCATGCAGATCTTGTGTATCGAGTTTGCAAGTGGAGAAGGATTTTGAAATCAAACCCCCACGATTTGTCAAGAGTTCGCGTTGGCCGATGCTGATACTTTGTGGTCGTTCATATTGTCTTTTGTCGCCTACCTCAATCTTCTATATCTTGTTAGGTGTTCAATCACACTGGAAGTCACATTTTCTTATTTCATTTGTCTCCCGCTTGTTTGCTTCGGGTGATACGCTGCCCTCAGCTAAAGCATTTCTCTTGTTTCCCCTTTCCTTTTGAGTTAGAATGTGTTACTCGGGTTTGTGTGCTTTTGCCAAAGTACTTGTTTGCTTATTTGTTTATTATACCATGTTCCCTTAGAATAGGAATTTGTATGCTCCCTTAGGATCGCTCGATTAGAGTAGCTTGCGAGCTAGACACTAGGATTATAACCCATGCATGCTAACATAGGGTAGAGATTTCCCTTTTCATCCTCAACCTTAGGATCGATCAATGTATGATAACATTAGGGATAATACTAGATAGTCTCCCTTATATTTTTTTCTTTCTTTTACATACTTGTATTAAAACTAAAACTCTTTTCTTGGAAAATGCATAAAACATCTAACAACTTTCAAATCCTTCTTTAAGGTAAAAAATATCAACCAATACAAACTCTTTCCTCCTTCGGGCCTTTCTTTGGAACTTGAAAAGAATGTGTTATTTTTCTATTCTATGCAATACGATGCGTAATTCCTCAAGGATTGGGTTGCATCATGTCTACTTGCTAAGAGTCGAGAACGTAACCTCATCCGCCTTCGGTTACCTTTTATTTTGAAAACACCTTGTTGCGACTGGTTTTTTTAATCAAAGTCACCACTATTAGTTTTTATCCTAGGGAAGGGAATCTAAAAGAAAACCCTAATTCGCAGACAGAGATTTTAGGTTTTGGACTTCTTTAGACGAAAGGAAGGTGTTAAGCATCTTTCATCTATCTTGTTCACGAGGATACTAGGTTTTAGGTTTGAGTTGGGGAAACAGGATTTAAATTTTATTAGGGGAAAGGGTTAAAAAAAGTTATAGGGGAAAGGGTTTAAATTTTTTATAGGGGAACTCGCTACGATTTTTGATCGTATGCCTACGTATCCTCTTATGAGGAATCAGAGTCCCAATTCGGAGTTCGTATTTGGTTGACATTTTTTATAAGATTGCGTAGAATGGCTTTCAAATTAACCTTTAATTTTGTCTGGGTTGTAAATTGAGTGATCGTAGATGTGGTTCGCAGTTTGATTCGAAGACAACGCTATTTAATCCTTTTTTGAAAATGTTCTTGAATTTGATTATGTTATTAGAAAAAAGTTTGACCGTTTGTTAGTTATTTTGGTATTTGATTTGACTAAGAAGTGGAGCGGGGGGGTTTGATATAGTCTCCTCCTCACGTGTTCTCATCATGTGGCCAGATATTGACCACGTGATGCTCATCATGAAGGATGTCGGAGAAGTCTGATATAGTCTTTTCCATCATGTGACCAGATATTGACTTCATGTTACTCGCGGATGAAATATTTGATGAATTGCGTGAATTTTGATATTCAATTAATTAATTTAAGAAAGTTATTTGATTAGTACATAATTATTTACAAATCCTTAAAAACTTAAATAAGAATAGTATTTTTGAATTTTTGAATAAAGGAAAATATTCTAATAATAATAATCTAAATTGACTATCTATTAAATTAGGTGGTCATTTTTCTTAAATTAACTAAGTTTATTAAAAACTAACCTAAATAATTAAAACTAATCAAAATCTTTTTGTATTTTTAATAATGAAATAACTAATTTTAAATTAGCTTAATAACTAAATTAGTTAATCACTTAATATTATACTACTAAGGATGCAAATCCTTAATTTGGGTGGGTATAAGTAAAAAGGTAAAAACTTTAAGCCCATTTAGGAAGAAACTAACTACTCTAATTACATAATTAAATAAAATATTAAAATAAAAATTAAAAAAATTACCTGATGAAGTAGACGTGAGAGTCCCTCATGATTCGAGGCATTCCAGCAATACTATTTTTCTTCAGACTTTTAGAACTTCACCAATTTATATTACAACACTTGAAAATGATTTAATTACATAAAAAAACAAAATAAGTATTATAATAAAAATAGATGCTATAGTGATTAATCCCAATCCTCTCAAATCTGATTCATCTCTCTCACATGCGTTGTACCTTCTTCTTTTTCTCTCTTTCTCTCTGCTTTATTTCATATCTCATTCTTCCTTTTGATAAAAAGCCTAAAATACCATATGAAATCAGAAATTGAAATAAAGCCAGCATACCTGATTGAATCAACACATGTCACCGCAATTCTGATTGGAGAGGGCGCGTATCGGTGTGAGAGCGTAGTGGTTTGTGTGCGGCAAGACGACGCGGTTGTTGACGGTAAGCTGGATCTGGCGCAGGTCGGTGGTGATGTGCGGCGGTTCGAAGGCAACTAGTGTTGCAGGTTTAGGAAACTCAAAATTAAAAGGTGTATTATTCATATTATGGCCTTTTGGTTATGAATGAATCGGTCAATGGTTTTGAAAGTTTCTGTAAGAAGGCAATTAGTATGTGATGATAGTATGCTTTATTTTGATAAAAACCATGAAGACCAGTAGAGAAAATCCTTTGACCCGTTTTTATGACTCAAAGAGTTTGACTTGGAAAAGAAAATACTATATGTTTTCATACTTACACAATGTTTGTATATAAAATTATAATCATTAGAACATTAGTATATAAAATTATAAAGAAAATATGTTTGTATGTAAAATTAAAAAGACTAAAACGTAAGTATATAAAATTATAAAGAAAACACCCAAATATATTTGTATACAAAATTTGGTACACAAATGTGTCAGATGATTTATCACGTGGAAACAATTGCAAAATTATAAATAAAAGGATGCGGAGCCTCATATGAAATTATCGGTCAAGAATAGTTGTTGTTTGATATAGACAACAACTCTAAAATAAACAAAAAAATAAAAAGGATTTATAAGAGGTTTGAAAGAAAAAAAGTAAGTTTTTTGTGGATTTGTGAGAATTGTGAATTTTTTGGATGATTATGTGTGTGTGTGCAATTGTAAAATTGTGGATCCCCAAAATTAGGACAATGAGGAGTTCTATTTATAGAGTGAGAATTAGGTAAAACCTCCCAAAAAAACAGAAAAAGAAACTATCCACTACCCAAAGTCCAAATTAGTTTTTATTTATTTATAAGATATTTATTCTATTTTTTAAATAAAATAAATATTTTAATAAAAAATAATATTTTTAAAATATAATAAATAAATAAATAAATACGAAAATAATAATTTAATAATAAAAAAATATGATTTTTGTGGTTTAGAAAATGAAAATAAAGTTAGTAACAGCAAAACATCCAAAGTGCAACGACTGAGATTTAAACCTGTGACCTTCTGCTTGTCAGTCTTTCTCCCTTACCAACTGTGCTATGTTACTTATTTGAAAGTAAAAAGCCAATTGAAAGTATATGACAACGAACAATTATTTTCTATTTTACAAAAATACAAATAATTATTATATTTTCAAACAGACTTGAAAGCAAATTTTTATTAAAAAAACTCAGAATGTTAATATAATTAAATCAAAGGAATTTTATATTTGTAACACCCAAATTTGAAAATAAGTTTGACGGTAGCACTAAGGCGGGCAAATTTTGGGTATGACACACTTGTTTAGGTTAGAGCATTTTATTTCTATTCCACTACAAATGTGTGAGTCTCCAATGGTCGAGCAGTTGTGGAATGCTTGAATTAATATTGTTCATTAAAAAATATAAACAAACCAAAATATGTGAGCCGAACTACGACTGCTCTAATTCCTTAAAAGGGATACCTAGGCATTGGGGTAGGGCCCGAACAAGCACAAATATATTTTTCCTACATTTATTTTCTCTTTTATTTTGCATGCATTCCCTCTTTGCATTTTCTTTTAGTTCTTAAGTTTAGATTGAACACACCTATAAGATAGACAACAAGAGTGGAAAATATAGAGTACTACAGGCGTGTGGGGTGCTAATACCTTCCCTTCGCATAATAGACTCCCTTACCCGACCTCTCCGTCGTTTAATCATGATTTCACCCTTCTCAAGTTTACTCGATGTTTAGCTTTCCCCTCCCATGGGTTAAAAAACGTTCGATGGCGACTTCATTGATTTCATTATCAGTTGATTGTTCAGTCGGTTGTGTTAGTTTGCGACTCCATTGGGGATAGATCGACCAATTGCTGGTCCATCCCGGAGTCGATCCTAGCTCTTGTTTGGTTTATCCATGGGGTGTTTATTTTTTATGCTATACAGTTTGTTTATTCATACCTGTCTATGTGAGCATATATGTGCATTACATTTTATCGCTTTCCATATGCTGGTGAAACTATTATGTCGGTTCTATTCATGTTAGGTGGGTGGTACAATAGGTAAAAGGCCCAATACCCAGGCCAAGTGACGGCCATAAGAACTCTAGGAATAGAGTGGAACATGAACGGCTAGTTGACTTTAGTTTTCTAGTACGGTCATATGCCGTCCATGCTCAGTTGAGGTACAAATAAGGTGTTATCGTTTCAAGTAGGTGTTTCGATGATAGTGGCCTCAAGCGGACCCATGATTATGAGTTACTCTTTCCTTACCCTAACCTAGATTTGACCCGTGAGTGAGACGGGAATATATATTACAGGTACAAATGGTGACTATGTTCATATGGTGACCGTTATTTTCTATTTTTGACTATGTGGGTCTCAGATTTATTTTCTGAGTTTCTAATTTGGTTTTCAAATCTTCCTTTTGGATTGTGTTTCGGACCTTTGATCCTGTTTTTCTCAGCATGCTCAAAAGCGGCATAGAAAATATCTCTTGTTATGAAAACCTTGATCCCATGACCATTGCACATACATCATAGCATATTTATTTTTTTTTACAAAAAAAATGTGAAAAATTGTATGCATGAAAAAGTTAAAACACATGTTCTTTCTATTTCCAAGGAAACGTGCTTGTGAGCCTTATGTTGCGGCTATCCATCTTTTATTGGATCAAAATAAAAATAAAAAGCATGTGGGTTCCTTGAAAATGTTTGGACATGGTATTTCATCCGCTCATTCACCTCATGCACATTCATGTATCCATAGTAGGTACTCAGAATGGGGAATCCTTATTCAGACTCGGTTTTCTTTTCAGAACTACAAATCTTGACTTCTCGTTACTCTGTGATCAGATTCAAGACATGGAACAAATTCGTGGGGAATTGGATGAGATGAAAGAGCAGATGGAATTTTTGATGCTAGACATGCAGGATTTGGTCTGTGAGCAAGAAGTGTTGAAAGAGGAGAACACTCAGTTAAAAGCTCGATTGAGTTTGGTTATGGAAATTTTGGGGACAGTGTTGAGGAAAGAAGATGGTTCTATACCTGCTGCAACAGGAGTTACCATTTCTCCCCATAATTGTGGAACTCTTTCAAGTAAGGGAGTATCTCCTCCACAGCCTTGCGTTCCAAGATCCTCCCGTCCACAACCAGTTATCGTTTCCCAAGAAGACCCAAAGGGTAAAGTCCGTCAACAGAGGCCAAAACAGCCTGAACGAAAATTTGATCCTATTCCAATGTTGTATGCACAATTGCTTCCTCACCTACTAGGATTTCATTTGTTTAAACTCGGAATCTTCACTACGTGCGAAAATCTCCCGCATGGCTTTGACAACAGTGCTAGGTGTGAATTCCATTCTGGGGCACCTGGTCATGATACTGAAGATTGCATAGCTTTTAAGCACCAAGTCCAGGATTTTCTTGATGCAGGGAAAATTCCCCTCACTACTGAAGGTATGAGCATGCAAATGAGTCCTATTCCAACTGTTACAAAGAATAGGGTTACACCTTATCCTTTTCAAAGTTCAATCTTATGACCTGAGTCACATCATCCACAACCTATAATCCCAGAAAGTTCTCATCGACAGTCATTTACAAGTTGTGGAAATCAGTTGGATAATCAAAATCAGCATGTTTCTTATGTCCATCCAGTTCGATATGCTCCTCAGCAGCAAACCTATCGACAAAGACATATGCAACAGGGTAAGCAAAGGGACAGGAAGTCAAAAAGAGTGTTTGACATTGTTCCTATGACTTATGGCCAATTATTCCCTCAATTACTCAAGCTTTTCTTGGTGGAACAAAAGCCATTGAAGCCCGACATTCCTCTTTATTCTATGGATTTTGATCCTAATGTGCAATGTAATTACCATGCTAGGGCACTGGGCCATTCAATTGAAGACTGCAGGGCCTTCAAAGAAAAGGTCCAAGACCTTCTTGACGCAAAGGCTATCAATTTCAAGCCAGCCAGTTAGATTTGAAGTCTCCTTTGACTTAGTGATGGTCAAGACTAACAAGTGCATCTTCTGAAGCAACAAGTCCATACGGAGAATGGTCTCCTCAACATGGAAATCCAAAATTTCATTTGCATTCTCATTTGTAATATTCTTGTTTTGGTTCAATACTTTCTTGTATGCAAAACTTGTGTATGCTTAAATATTAATCATAATGCATTGAATATGTTTGTCTTGAATTAATCCGTTTGTATTCACTCATTAATGTTTTCTTTTCTTTTTGATACTTAAATATTGTTAAATAAAGAAAAAACTTTTGGAGGGAGAATGATGAGTAATGTACCAAAAAGTTCAAACGATGTGCTTTTGAATAAAAACCCTGCTGATGATGTAGAAGAATAGTTTCAAATTCCCAAACACCAGAGATATAAGGGAGATAGACCCTCATTAACCCCTTTGAGCCTTGAAGTAGGAGTTTCTTTTCTTGTCAGAAAAACCCTCACATTTAACCCAGGGCAGGGTAGTGTTCAGTTAATCTGATTGAGCGTTCAGAACTCATCAGGAGTACGTATCTAAAGATACAACAATGGTTATCCATCAAAAGGTTGAGGAAAGTCAAAACCGAAATAGTTAATCCTCATTTATCAGCAACGTGCATAAAAAAGAATAATTTCCCAATGGGTATCTCTCGCACGTCAGGAGGTCAACAGATGACGATACCATAATGGTTATCCCTCATCTACCAAGGACTCTGGAAGTCATAATCTTTCCAACAAAGTCGAAAACAACTCGAAGTCACATGACGTGTTCAAAAGGAAAAATAATGAGGAAAGAAAGAGACAAAAAACCCCGCTAAGTCGAAACTTGAAAAACGAGTTAAATTCAGAGTCAAATTCAAAAGGAATTTGTCCAGGAAAAAGTTAGGGGAAGCAAGGGAGAAACAAAAAGAGTGAAAAGCGGAAAGGGATTATCAGATAAAAATCCTCAACAAAGAACAAAGTTGTGTGACCAGAAATGAAAAAGAACCAATGGTGAGTGACTTCCATGTCATAGAATCCTCAGTGGTTCCTCAATTATTGTAAACTCTTTTGAGAGATGAGCGCTCACATCAAGTTAACTAAACTTATGACTGAAGAACATCATGGAGAACAGGTGGGCACCAAATAGTT